TAAAACATCCACATCTGGGAAGCAGAATTGAGTTCCCCTCCATTATGCTTTCCCTCTGGGGTGAGAGTGGCATCCTCAAGGCACCCCCTGAAACATTTTCGTTTTCTCTGCCGTTTAAAGTGGACGCGAGGAGAATGAGCAGGCTATTATGCAGCCCTCTCCTGTTGACACGTGGTCTTGGCGGGCCTTCCCCACGCTGGCTCAACATCCACATCTGGGAAGCAGAATTGAGTTCCCCTCCATTATGCTTTCCCTCTGGGGTGAGAGTGGCATCCTCAAGGCACCCCCTGAAACATTTTCGTTTTCTCTGCCGTTTAAAGTGGACGCGAGGAGAATGAGCAGGCTATTATGCAGCCCTCTCCTGTTGACACGTGGTCTTGGCGGGCCTTCCCCACGCTGGCTCATGATCTGAGTAGGGCTTCGCTGGTGTCTTTCAGGTTGGGAAAAATAGCAGCCTCGCTCTGTCACAGTCCAGCCCTTCCAGCATATCCAGCCCAGGACACAGCCGACAGGTAAGTTACTGGGGGAGGCTAAAATGCATGAGGCCACCAGCAGGGTGGGAAGAATGTGGGTATTTGGGTCAGATCCTGGTTCACATTCATCTCCAGTTAACAGCATGGCTGTCTGGCTTCCAAAGTTAGGACTTAATAGCTGTGTGCCCTTGGGCAAGTTACTTAACTCCTCTGTGCTTCCGTTTCCTCGCCATAAGATGGGGATTATAATGGTCCCTACCTCATAGGGCTTTTGTGAGGATTAATTTATTCACATAAAGCCTCTAGAAAATGCCCAATATAACACACAGGTATTAGCTATTATTATTAGCAGCTGTGTAATATTAGGCAGATTACTTTGAGTCTAATTTTTTTTTCATCTGTTAAATGGCAAAATCAATGCCTACCCCCTAAGATTACTGTGAAAATTAAATAAGATGATGTTGACTAAAGAGCCTTGCTAGTGGCAGGTATCAGTCAGCTTTCTCAGGGCCTCTGGGGAGCTAGAGCTACCATTCAGAGCGTGATTCCAAGCTGGGAATATTCAGGGTAGATATAGGAGTTTTATAAACTTGAGGTGTGAGAGTTAGTCAATGTGTAAATAATTTTCTCCATTGGAGAGTACGTGCATCCGGGGGAGGCCAGGGAGCACAGGGGGCGGGTTTCTGCATGCCATGCATGATTGGAAAAAATACAGCTATGGCTGCGTTGTGTTGTCTTGGATATGCCGTAAGCTTTGCAGGCAACAAATTGCAATGTATTTGTCTGCATTTTGGCCTTTGGGGTTTCCTCACAAATCTGGGGTAGAATTTGGGTGAAGGTTATAGGGAAACAGTCTTTGTGTCCCCAGATCAAGGAGGATGCCTCCATTATTTTGAGTCGCTATGGCCCTGTTGGGGCCTGAGCACCTTCCACCCATCCTCTGTGCTCGGAGTGGGTGGGGGTCTCACCTGTGCGCAGGCAGACCTCCTGCACGGGTGGCTAGTGCGCCTGCCCGGTGCTCCGGGCCTGCCTGTGGGAACCCGAAACGCTGGCGGTCAGCCTTAAGGAATGTGATAGCAATGATAATAGCTCTCATTTGTTGAGCCCTTTCTCGGCAGGTGCTGGGCCAAACAGCCTTTACATGCATTTAGACCTTTAACAAACCCTGTGAGAGACAAAACGATTATCCTCATTTTATATAGATGAAGGTGACTGGACTAAGTGGCTAAGTAACTTGAACCCAGAACCTCTCTCTGCATAGTCTCTGTGCTTCACCCATCACTCTGTGTCTTCCTTAGATAATTCCCTGTGCTGTCTGTAGGTGAGATAGGAAGCATCCCAGGTGAACTAATAGAGAAAAAAAGAGAACACAGGCTTATTCTGGTCCTCCCTCCTAGCGGGAACCCCATGAATGTCCACAGGATTCATCCCTGCATTTATGGAGTCCTTTACAGCATCCCCTCATGTGCTCATTACATTGCCTTTGGCTGCTGTAGGAGTTGGGATGGTACCCTTTCTGTTACAGATGAGAAACCGCACTCTGTTCTCGAATCCTCGTGGTAATCCCAAGCTTTGCTTCTTTTCTTTTCTAGAAGACCACAAACAGAACGGGCAGGATAAGGACTCTTCCATAACAAGACTATGAAGCCACTTCCAATCCAATGCCTGGCCGCGGGTCCCACCCAGGGGGCCCAGGGGGCAGGGAGTGGGCAGTCGGGGATCCATTTCCTGGGCCCGCCTGTGGCTCTGGCCTTTCTTTTTCTTTTTTTAATGACCAATTTTTAGTTTTGGAGAAAAAGGAAAAGGCAAAAGAACGTGAATTTGAGATTTACAGAAAACAATACCAGTGTTTTGTTTTCGTTGTCTTGCGTTTGCCACATGTACACATTCTTCCAAGCTCGGGGCCGCTCCTCCAGCTTCTGATTCAACTACTGCACCGTCGTCTTGCTCCAGCCACGAGAGCAGACGGTTGGGATGTCAGTTCCCGGTTGGCATCATCGGAAACTCAAACTTTAGCACGTGCAGTGCTCCTTTCCTTGCCCTCGCCCGCCTGCCCATCCCTCCCCACCCATCCCCTCCTACCTGCCACTCACTGGGTCCCCAAGGCCATCACAGGAAGTTGCCTCTCATAAGCTCACCTCTGGACACTGTGCCGGGGAGGGGCTTTGCCGGGGAGCAGCCGATGGTTGGGGAGCGGAGAACAGAGGCAGGAGGGTGGCCGAGCACACTCTTCAGGTTTCTAGGGCGCACCAGGTCCACTGTCCAGCTGTGCAGCTCAGAGGGGATCTACTGGGTCAGGTCTGGACCGGGCCTGGGAGGTGGCGGGAAGCAGAGAATGGGGGTAGGAGAAGCTATCCCTCAGGAGATAGTAGGGACGAGGTGGCTGTGGTCATCTGAGCTTGTTAGGAGTCCAGGCTGCAAAACCCCTTCCTGGGTGCCATGTGCACGGGCCCAAAGCGGGGCAAGCCAGAGAGGGAAGCACCCCTGGGAAAGGGCAGGGGACCCCAGGAAGCCACTCTGAAGAAGGCACGGTGCCCACAGCTGTGGACATTCTCCAGCCGCCCTCCAGGGCTGGGCAAGAGGAGAAAGAGGGAGGGAAGGAAGGATCTGGGGGAAAGCTTCCACGGAGGGCTATGTGTCAAACGCCTGGTGAGAATGAATACTAGACTCGCCCACCCGCCTCTGGGCCCGGGGCCCCAAGGCCCTGTGACTCAGCGCCCCCTATATCAGGGTCTGCTGGGTTATCCGAGGCCCAGCTCAGACACAGCCACCCCAGGAAAGAGTGGGAAGGCCATGCCACTCCCTAGTGAGGAGGAGCGAAGCTGGAGCCTCACAGCTATGAAACTGTTGACACTGGAGTTTGAAAGAAACACCAATACTGTAAGCTTTAACCAGGAATCAGTCCGGAAAGCAACTCACAATATAAAGTAAGTGTTCTGTGCTGTTCACCGCGT